GGGGGGAGGGGGGGGGGGATTACAAATTCAAAATATGTTATAGCTTATATTTTTACTGTCCATCTATCCATCCATCCACCCATCCATTCTCACCCATTTTGCTCAAGGTTAACTAATGAAGAAGGTGGCACTGGATTTAAGGACTTCTACTGCAGTGATTCCCCACGTGCAGTTCCTGGGCTAGCACCATAAGCATCACCTGAGAACTTAAAAATGCAAATTCCCAGGCACTGCCCCAGACTTCCTGAGCCAGAAACTCCGGGAGTGGGGCCCAGGAATCTGATGATTCTCTCCAGATAATTCAGAAACTCTAGTCTGAGGACCACTGTTCTGCATTCAGAAAATGCTTAAATCAACTAGATCCATTAGCATTTCTCCCACAGATTTTATCACTTTTTCACCAATTACTACAAATATAAAGAGAAAACCAAAATAATGGAAATGCTGGGCACGGAGCCCTACCACACAGAAGGGGAGCTCTTGCCACTGGAAAGTGCTCCTGGCCTTGTGGTTAAAGATCAGGTTCAAGAATATATACAACTTAAATTCTCAAGGTCAAGAAAGAGATTCACAGACCATCTGGTCAGTGTGCTTTGTCCTTTGCACGCAGACTAACCTAGATAATGTACGTCCTTGCTGAGCAGGAGCAACCTATATATCTGAATGTAAAATAAAGCAGCAGCATTTCCAGAACAGTGGACAAAGGTAAAATGCCTGTCGGTTCAGGGTAGAGCCATGAAGGGCCCAACTCCATGCAGGTGAAATAGCCCCGAAGCTCTGTGCACGGTCGCTGAACCCAAGCCCTCGGCTCTGACCCTGTCCTGAGTGCATCAGGCCCCCTGCCCTGAACCTCTACACCAACATGCAGCCCAATGTCGTGGCACCTCCAGCCCACACCTGCCACTGATACCAAATCACCCTGGAGGCGGAACAACTCTACGACCTCCAGGTAAAAGCCATTCTGCTACAGATGGGGAATTCTTTTGGGGAGATGCCTGGGATTTAGACCTGAGTCAATGAGTAGGCTGACATGGGCCTACATCCCCTCCCCATGCTCGCTGGATGGCACTGTGTCAACACAGATGGGAAACAGCCTCCCCAGCCCATGTCTCGCAGCCTCCGTTCAGTGGCGCCTCACATGGAGAATGGGTGAAAAACGGATTTGTGCCGAAGGAAGAGGCAGTGTGAGTGGGAGGTAGGCAGGGGTACGCATGCAGGGGTCCTCGCCCCTAACAAAATGATATTGGATATTCATAAAGCCAGCTATCTGTTGACCTGGATTTAAGAGTCTTGGTGAAATCTGCAGTTGCTGGCAGCACAGATGTGTCAGAGGACATACATCGGAGAGTTTCTGCTTAGAGTGAGACCATGGTCAAGATAAGGGCTTGGCTCGCTATACACAGTCCGTGAGTGGTCAATGTCATTCCTGCTCTTCAGAGACAGCCTTTTAACATTTCAAAATGCACACGCGTCTTTCAGAGCTCAAGGAAAAACCTCCATCCCTAAAACCTAGGGAATGACATCACTCTTGGAACAGTTCCCACTCTGTAATCCTGACTCTGGGCCCAATGCAGAGGGTGTGAAGAGCTGTCCCTCCCCCTGCAGGGCCAGTGGGAGCACCCCTGCGGATCTGCGGTCCACTGTGCCCTTCACCTCAGCCACACGCCAAATCCTGCACCAAGCAAAATGCGACTTGTGTTTCAGAAAAAGGGGGCTCGCTACCTTTCTAAGAATAAGGGGCCAGATGGCATAAAAATGGTTTTATTTTCTTTTGGCCCATATACAATAAATCCAGTAGCTTTAATCACAAAAATCACCATTAAAAACTGAATGTCACTCAAAGTCTTGGTTAGACCATCACACACAATGGTGCTTATGCTGATTTCATCATTGCTTTGCTCTCAGAAGCCACTGGGGTCTCCCACTTATGGGAGGGGGGGAGAAAGAGAGGGAAAGAGAGAGGAAAGAAAGGATACCACACCTAAACCATGTATCTGACAAAATCTAATCTCTCACGAAAGTCTTATTTAGACAACGAGGTAATGGTATATAACATAACATATGACAATATCAGGCAAAAATCTGACAACTCACTTTTAATGATACAGGATTCTTTCCTCTTCATTTCAAGGAAAGCTAGCTAATGCCGACTGTTCCCCTTCTGCACAGTGCAGCAGGAAAACTCAGATGTGACTGATCGAAAGCCAATAGCAAGACACTGCCAGGCCAGTTTTTTCTTAAACCTAAATGAATCCATCTGAACTGCTCCTAGAGGCTTATCTTCAATTAACCTTTCAATTAACACAGAAAATGAATGTCCAAGGATGCTATACTTCCACTCTCCATTCACACCATTTTCAAACATTTGTCTTAGGTGAAACTATATTTAGTGGATAAAAGAACCACCTGATTAATCTGGATTTTTCCTCCTCAGAATGAGCTGGTGTCTCCATCCCCACACCAGGTGCGAAAAGCCGTCGGCTCAGACTATTTTCAATCCACGAATACTGATGCTTTCTCCATTGCTAGCGTTGCAAATGCAACTGAAATGCAGGTTGAACGAGCCGATTTCAGCCAACCGCTCCACATACAAATCTGGGATCTCCTAGAAAGCCTGTGTCACCAATCTGCAATTACTGTAACTATCCGAGGCAGAATAAAACCACGCTGACTGTCCATGGAAACCTATCCGCTACCAGACAAATGCCTATCATAGCTGCTCTTTCCTGTTATTACTGCTAGGGGGAAAATGAAGGCTGTTATACAAAAATATCAGATGCATATCCCTACGATTCAGCACATGATGTCAGGCTTAAGAACACAGAATTCAAGGCTAGCAGCTCCTCCTACCAGTGTTCTTGGAAACCGCATTTAATCTCTGCACCATTTCTTCCAAAGCCATCTCTTCATTTCTCAGCCAAAACCTCATCCTCCGGCAGAACAAAACGATCCTCTGCAGCTGCTTTCCTCTGCACCAGAAGGTGCTTCATGGGTGGGGTAGCACGAGTGGGGAGGGGGCGCGGCCGCGAGGCTGGGGGGGCCCGGCAGCGCCTCCCTTCCCTCGATTGGTCCCAAGCCCCGCCAAGGGGCGCGCCCTGCGCCAGGGTGGGGGCTGCTCGGCGGAAGCGGAAGCACGCCCGCCCCGCGTGTCCCCGCGGCCACCGGGGAGCTCTTCGTGCACCCCCGCGGTCACCTGGAAGCCTTGCGTGTGCACTCCCGCGGTCACCTGGAAGCCCCGCGTGTGCACCCCCAAAGTCACCTGGGAGCCCCAAATGTGCACCCCCAAGGTCACCAGGGAGCCCTGCGCGCGCACCCACCCCAGCAACCTGGAACCCAAGTGTGTGCGCCCACCGATCGCCCGACAGTTCGCGGGCGCACCCCGCGGGGATCTCAGCCCGCAGCCCTCCCCGGCTCAGAGGTGCAGCCCGCCCACCCTTCCCAGCCTGGGCTCGCTGCGCCCCCTCCCCCGACCGGAGAGGAAGGAGGGACTTCGGGAGAGGCCACTGCAAAGACAGCCCCGGAACCTGCCCGCCCGCCTTTACCTCCAGCAGTCCCTGGGCAGGTGCAGAGGCCGCAGCAGCCGAGCGCACCCTCCCCGCGCCGCCGCATGCTGACCCGGCAGCCCCGAGTCGGTGGGTCCTTGGGTCCTTGGTGGGTCCTCCGGTAGCTGGGTGCACCGGCTGCTCCCGGAGCGGCGCAGCCTGCCCAAGGACGCAGGCGGGGAGGGGAGCACGCGCTGCAGGCCCTCCGACCTCACCATGGTTGGCACGAAGCCACTGTGTGCACTCTACACCTCAGTGCCTGCAGATGCGAGTCACGCGTGTGCAAGGCTATGGCTGCCACATCCCAAGGACGTGCAAGAACACGGGTGTGCACACTGGGCCCTGGATGGGGCCTCTGCCGCCCAAGGGGCTTGCCATCCTTTTGTGGTTGGCATTCCAGGTAGCAGGAGTATTTCAGGAAGAAGTGCCTATTTCTATGAATGGTTTGGGAAATTCAAACAAGGAATGGCAGAGATTCAAACTGCTGCTCATGTCAATACAATGTGTGTGCCAACATCTCGGCGTGGTGGCTGTCAGGCACCAAGAGCTGGACTGAGGGGTGAGAAGATGAAGGTGACACAGGATTTGTCCTCAGCAAGCTCATGGGCACAAGGAAGATATGCAAACAAACCATCGCAAGATGAAATGAAGGTGTAATAACCACGCAGGAAAGGTGTGGGTAAAACTAAAAAAAAAAATGTTTTGTTTTTAACATCAAAACCATTGAATATCAGCAGTTTTTTATGGTTCAAAGTCGAGCCCAATGAGGGGAGGGGTCTGGATAGGCCTCACTGCAGGGGAGACAGTGGGCCTTTTCCATGTGGACAAATGTCCTGGTCTGACCTTCGCTGAAGCAAAACCAAGCTTTGCTATGGCCACATGAGCCAGACGCAATCATTCATCCCCCCTCCCCATTACCACCACCTGCCTCTGACTTCAGGAAGGCCAGTCACCTGAACCAGTGTCCTAAAATGCAGGCTCTTTCCTCCCCAAAGTGAAGTGGGTGGCATCCACCTTCCTGTCACTCCAGAGGCAAGGACACCCACACTTGTTCTTGACACCCACACTTATCCTTGACCAAAACTGGCCCCCAGGTCTCTGCAGACACACTGCCAGGACATCCCCTCTCCCAGGCGTCTCCATTTCCCCCCTTTGCCTGGTTCATGCCTCTTCCAGCACAGATGTGTACTCAAGTGGTGCTCAAACCTGAGGCTCACTGGAATTGCCCCCAAAGGCTTGTTAATCCAGATGACCAGAGTTTGTGATCCAGTGTTGGTGGGGGAGGGTAGGAATATGCATTTCTAACAAGATCCCAGGTGATGGGGATGCTGCTGGTCCACATTTTGAAAACCGCTCACTGTGAGAGCTTATCCCATCTTTAAACCAAAATCAAAGCAAAGAAAAAGGCAAAGCCTTCTGCCCACTCTGCTCTGACTGACTCCCATTCTCCAGTCACACTCTCAGCTTCTTTCCTGGACCCTGAAATACTTCTGGCTGCTGACATTTCCTGGCCCAAGCGGCTAACTCCAGCTCTGCTTCAGGATTGAGTCTGATGGCACCTGTGATGCTTGCTCTTACGTGTCAACTTGGCCAGGCCTCAGTGCCCAGATGTTTGACCAAACACTACTCTGGCTGCTCCCTTGAGGGTGTTTTGTAGATCTAATTTCTTGTTTGAATTTCCCAAACCATTTAAATTCAGTGGGTTGTGAGTAAAGCAAATCATCCTTCCTAATGTGGGTGGGCCTCATCCAATCAGTTGAAGGCTCTAAGAGAAAAAGACTGATCTCCCCAGAGGAAGAGGGCATTCTGCCTCTAGATTGACTTCAGACTTGAGCTGCAACATGGGCTCTTCCCTGGGTCTCCAGCATGTGGCCTGCCCTGCAGGTTTTAGACCTACCAGCCCCCACAATTGTGTGAGCCAGTCACTTGATATAAATCTCCCTCCTCTTCTCTCTCTCTCAAACTCTCTCTCTCAGTCTCTATCAAACCTTTACTATATCCTTAAATTATAGNCACTTGATATAAATCTCCCTCCTCTTCTCTCTCTCTCAAACTCTCTCTCTGTCTCTATCAAACCTTTACTATATCCTTAAATTATAACACAAATGGTGCTTTCTATAAAAATCATTTACTATTTGCTTAAAGTATAACAATCATACAATACCACCCAATGTTTATTGAGTACTGACTTTCCTAAACTCACATGGTGTGAATTGATGTAATCTTCACAAGGATCTAGCAGATGGGCACTATTTTTACCCTGTTATACAAAAGAAAACACAGAGTAGTTCAGTAAGTTGCCCCAGGTCACACAGCTGTAAGTGGCAGAGGCAGAATTCAAACTCAGATGTGTACAAACACAGATCTAGAGAACAACTGTTTGCTTTAGAGAAATGTCACATCTCAATTGTAATGTAATCCTCAATGTGACTTGCAGTTAGATAGGGACAGTTAGGTAAGGTCCCAAACCCAGCACGGCATGAAGAATCTTAGCCTGAGTGTCCCAGTATGCTTTCCATACTGCTTCTCCCCCTCCCAGAAAGGAGAAGCAGGACATGACTGTTCATCGCTCCACATGAGGCCTGCAGGCGCCCAGGTGGGAAGGTGGAAGGTAATGTTATACCTGGATACGGAGCACATCTTCTTAGCAACTGTTCCGGAAACTTAGCCATGAAAGGGAGGTGAGAAACAGGAGAGCTGGAGGGGTGTGCAGGTTGGNGTGGAGGTGTGCCATTGTGAGAGGTAACAGGAGATGGGAGCAGCCAGGCCTAGGTGCAGCTGGATGCTGGCCATGGAAAGTGAGGACGCATGTATTTCCTGCCTTGCCTTATCCCACATCAAAGGCATGGGGGAGGACAGCAAGGAATAGGGGCCCTCTGAAGAAATTTGCAACTATTAACAGCACAACCTCACTCCTGAGCTGGGATGTGGAGCAGGCGTAACCTCTGACAAGAGGCGTTCTGGAGTGTGGGGAATTTCAGAAGCACCTGGTCTCCTGAACAACTTCTTCCTAGGAGCTGGGAGCTGGGAGCTGGGAGCTGGGAGCTGGGAGCTGGGAGCTGGGAGCTGGGAGCCAGGCCCCATGCTGGTTCCAGGGTGCAGGGCTGAGTGAGGCAGGAGGGCTCCCTGCCCTCATGGGGTTTCCCCTCCAAATGGGGGCCAGCCACTAACAAGGACACACATCCCTGGTGGCAGATGGTGAACAAAGTGTGCCGAGTGGCATGATTCCCTTGGGGCCTGAGGTGAAGCTCTATGACAGAGATGCACAGCCCTGTCCAGCAACGTGCTCTGCACATGCACACCAGCGCCCACGGACACCGATGTTTGCAGCAGGGCCCCTTACAGCTGCGGGGGAGGGACAGGGAAGGAGGAAGGGGCAGGGAAAGGGAGGAGGGGGAGGGGAGGAAGAGGGTTAGGTTGCCCAACACCACTAATCAGCAGAGAAACACAAATCAATCCACAAGGAGATGCCGCCTCACACCTGTCAGAATGGCTGTCATCAAGAAGACAAGAGCTAACAAGTGTTGGTGAGGGTCGGGGAAATCGGAATCCTTGCACACTGCTGGCGGAATGTAAATTAGTGCAGCCAGTATGGAAAACAGCATGGAGGTTCCTAAAAACATAAAATAAAATAGAACTACCATGTGATCCAGCAATTCCACTTCTGGGTATATATCCAAAGGGAACAAAATCGGCATCTTGGAGAGATATGTGTACCCCCATGTTCACAGCAGCATCATTCATGATAGCCAAGATATGGAAACAATCTAACCGTCCTTCAAGGGGTGAATGAATAAAGATACAGTGTATACATACAATGGATAATTATTCAGCCATAAAAAAGAAGGAAATCCGGCTATTTGCGACAACATGGACGAGCCTGGAGGGCATGATGGTCAGTGAAAGAAAAAAACAGACACATGGTTTCACGTATATGTGGAATCTAAAAAAGAAAAGCCAATTTCACAGAATCAGAGAATAGAACGGTGGTTGCCCAAGGCTGGGAGGAGAGTCAAAGGGTACACACTTCCAATTTTCAGATGAATGGGGTCTGAGGATCTAATGTACAGCACAGTGACTGCAGTTAATGATGCTGTAATGTGTATAGAAAGTCACCGAGAGCAGACCTTAAGCATTTTCACCAAACACACGTGGAAGGAGTTATGTGAGGAGATGGATGTGTTAATTATCTTGATCTTGGAAATCATTTCACAATGTAATATCAAATCACCATATTGTACATTTAAAATGTATACAATTAAAAAAATAATAAAATGTATATAATTATAGTTGTCAATTATTCCCTCAATAATGTTTTTTAAAAACGTGAGCGAGATTGTATGAGGATGAGAATTCTCCTTGACTCAGTTCTGTGACCAGGCATTTC